TGTGTGTCCACTGACCTCCTAAGTCCACTAGGTGGCCACTTGACACCCCGCCGTTCACTCCCAAGGTCTCTCAGCCCCGGGTCACCAAGACTTTGAAGACACCTAATTGATCCCTATGAGCGTTATTGGATCTTCCTCTTCCTAATCCAGCTCCTGCAGAGGAGCCCGAGGGCCACATCCCTTCCTTTCCCTCTAGCTGTCTTCCTTGATGCCTGCTTTTCCACAGGGGACTTCTCTGGCTGCAGCACTGGGGCCTCAGAGCAGCTCTTCAGTGCAGACACCGAGAGGGAATGCAGTCAAAGCCTGAACTGAAACCCCAGGCTCCCATTGGAGTCATCAGGAGAGGGGGCTGTCAGGGGTGGGAGCAGCCACCGTCACGAGGAAATGCCAAGAGTCCTCTAACACCCGCTGCTGTCTGTAAACAATCCCGAGGAGAAGGGAAGGCAGATGGTGGGGGTGCTGGCAGAATCGTACAGGGGGTGCTGAGCCTTCGAATGCAGCTGCCGTGCTGGCCCCACTTAGGGCTCTGAATGCAGAGTGGGGCCATTTCCAAATGGTCATCTGATCTCATACCCTTTACTCTCCTTCCTCCACGATGCTTCCCCAATAGACCACAGAAATATACACATGGAGAATATCTATCTATCTATTGGAGAACAGGGATCATCCAGAAACTCAGAAAAGTTTCTGGGAAATACAGTGGAACCTCAGATTTTAAACTTAATTTGTTCCAGAAGGCTATTCAAAAACCAAAGCATTTTCTCCATCTATACTAATAATAGGGTAATATACAAATTGGTCAGGATGCTGTCACAGTAACAACTGATCAGCAGGCTGTATATGCAACAGGTGTGGGTGGGCGGGGCTTCGGCCTGTGTATAGGCCTCCACCTGAGGGGCGGCTCCTGGGCAAGTGCTGAGCAGCACTGAGGCAGAGTGTACCGGAGCGGGCTCGGGCCGGGACAGGGGGCCAGTGGATGAGGATCTGCATTGCCTACAAAGAGCGAGGTTCTATAGTGGCCCCAAGATGCGGGTTGGCCCAGCGGGGAACAAGGGGCCATGACTGCTGGCGTGGAAGGACACCCCGGCAGAGGGGTGCAGACCCGTAGCCCAAGGCGCGGTTGTGGGCGGTGCCAAGGCTGCATGCGTGAGGCATGGGTGGGGCTGAATGCATGGCTTGTCCGCAGGCGCCAATGAACCCAGCCCCTCCTCCGGCCCACCCCTGATCAGCCTCTCCCACCCCAATTGAGGGTGGGGCAGTTAGCCAACCCTCCAACCCCACTCCATGGCCCCTCGCCCAGGCCGGCCACACTCCCAGGGATTGGGAGTACCCCAGGCAGGGTGCAGGCGCGGCGTTGGTCAGAGGCAAAGATCTTGGCTGTCTCTGGCCTAGAGAGTCCCGAAAACCTCAGCAGTGACCAAAGACCAAGACTGAGTGGCTGAGTGGAAAGGTCCCTGCCAGTGCTTATGGCTCAAAGTGCCAGGAGGAGGTGGAGCATCCTGAACCTGCAACCCTAGCATCTGCCTTTGGGCACACCACGCCGGTGGCGCCTGTGGGTGAAAGGGGGAGAACAGGGAGCTGGGGTGCAGAGCTGGGGAGCAGTGGCTAGTCTTCAGGAGCAGCCCCCACACCTGCCCCCCCTGGCTGTGGAGTCTGGGTGTGGGAAAGCTGCCTGCTGAGGTTGCTGTGACCTGTGTGCTCTGGCCGTCAGGCCCTGTTCCCTGCCCAAACCTGGGTTCTGACAGGTGAACGGAGTTTCAACAACTCCCAGCCTCGACTCTCCCCAGCTGCAGGAGTGGAGGGAAGCCAAGCGCTGCGGAGCCACACAGCGTGCCGGTGACCACCACACACCCTGGTTTCCTAAACCGGTTCCTTCAGCTTCCGGATGTCCCAAGCCCAGCTAGGGCTAAGCCCCTGGTCAGCTCTGCCGCTTGCCTTCCAGGTGCGGCTAGCCCTAAGCCGGCTGGCGTTGTGCTCAGAGAAGCAGCTGTCACCAGGCTCCGTTAAATAAGAGAAATCAGAGCCAAGAGTAAATATCCTCTCGGTCCCTCCCTACCACCCCAAGAGAGGAGGGCTGGGGATTTGCATTTTATAATGAAAAGACTCCTGCTATGTAGAGAGGAGGGCTGATTCTGTTTCCAGCAACACCTAGTGTGTTCCCTGCCCCAGCCCTGAAGCCTGACAGCACCTAGCAAAGGTGTATCCGCACAGCCACACTGGCCTGGCTACTGGAACGTTGGGAGCAAGTTTGAGCTGCATTGATTTAATTAAAAAAAAAAAAAAAAAGTAAAGATTGAAAAGTACCTTTGTACTCAAATGGCACTATAAAATGCTGATTACAGTATCTGATTGTTTTGTGTTGATTTTGAGGCAGAGCGCAAAAGGTGCATGGGAAAAGCAGAAAAAACAAAGGGAAAAGGAGAGGATTCTGCTGTTCACAGAATTGAACATTTTTTTTTGTTTGTTTGTTATTTTTCCTTCTGTTCAAGTCAGTATATGCCATTTAAACCACTCTAAGGGATTAGGTGAGCCAAAGCTTCCTCTATTAACCTGTTAACCGAGCGGGACCTATAAATACGTCAAACGTAAACAATATCGGAAACGGGTAGGACGTATGAATACATCCTTGAAATATATGTTGTACCCCGATTTAAAAAAAAAATATTTTATTGATTTTTTACAGAGAGGAAAGGGGAGGTATAGAGTTAGAAATATCGATGAGATGAGAAACATTGATCAGCTGCCTCTTGCACACCCCCCCTGGGAATGTGCCGGCAACCAAGGTACATGCCCTTGACCGGAATCGAACCCGGGACCTTTAGGTCCAAAGGCCAACGCTCTATCCTCTGAGCCAAACTGGTTTCGGCTATTTTCTGTAATCTTTATCATTGTTTGTAAAATTTATAATTTTTTAATTCGATGTGTCCATTTTTTTTGTCAGTATTCTTTTCTATTTTTTTTTTTGTAATTTTGTATTTTCCTTTGTGCTTCATATATATAAATAAACAAAAAAATATATATATTTCATTTATTTTCATTAAGTATATGGTAAATAAAAAAAATAAATAAAATTACGTCCTCTGGGCGTGACGTACTGACACTCCGAGTACGCGCCCGTTACAGGTTGCGTCATTAAAAAGGGAAACTCCCCGGTTAACAGGTTAAGAGCAAGCAGCAGTGCCTTACATATGAGTTGCATACATTTAATCCATTCAAATGGAGCATACGTAGTGGAGAGCATGGTTATGTGTCATATAAAGAACTTGGCATTATGATGCTATCTGGCTGGAGATGTTATTTATTTTGTAATTTAGAGAATGTAAAAAAATCAAGCATTGAAAATGAATGTGCATGCTTAAGTTCATGACTTTATTTTCATCCGTAACAATCAGATGACCGGTCACCAGAAGGTGCATTGATGGGTCCCACAATTGCGGCAGGTCTGGGTGAGGCTATGTGGCACGGGTCAGGGCGGGGGGCCTGAGGCTGTGCCCCCTGCCCCAGCACCGGGACGTGAGGCTGCATCTCCTGCCTGGAGGGTCTTGATGGGGGTGGGGCCGGCCGGATCTTGGTGTTGCCCAGCGGGGTGGGGTTGGACACTTCTATTATAGAGAAAGGGCAAATAGCAATATTAAAGTATTTCCTCTCATTCCTTTTTATGTGCACAAGACCACTATTTAGAAATAATATAAATTTAATTAATCCATTCCAGACCGCCAAGTGATTCCATTTTAACTTTTTTTTTAATATACAATGCATGTCTAATGTACCGCTTAAACCTGTAAAAACTTTAAAAACAAAAAAAGACATGAAATGTAAATGAAAACTTAACAAAAAGAAAATTATACAATAAAAATTTAAATTTTAATAAGCAGCAACAAAAGCAAAAACACAGAATATTCACAGCACAATATCCTGAGATGTTAACAGCAATAAGCTCTTACTTGAGCATCCTCTCCCGTCTCTTGAGAGAAACGTGACTGATCATACAGGCATCAGCATGAAAGGGTTGTCAGGTTGAGAGGCAAACTGTTTGAAATGTGAGACGTTTGAGAATCGAAGTTGACTGGAGTGTGTTTGGGACATGACTGAGAGGGCTGCCTAACTGGTTATGCCCCATGTGTGATGGGGGGGCTTGTGAGCAAAGGTGGTAGAAACGAGACGTGGACAATATGAGCTGTTGCTGAGTTTTCCCCCTTATTTCTAGTGATGTCTGACCTCCCTCTCTGTCAACCACAGCTGGGACAATTATGTAGGATCCTGAAGCAAACCGCCAAATGGACCCTTAGACCTCCCGACGCTGCTGTCTTTTTACATAAATGAAGGAGCAGCTTGTCCATTGGTAATCCAAGTAAGGCAAAAGGAAGCTGTGCCTGGATTTCAGCCCAGGTCTGCACCACACTGCTGCTGGAGGACAAGGTCAGAATCCATCTGCTGAAATGAAAGCCAGTATTGGTCCCGGGGCCTGGCTGTGGTCAGCTTTCCACTTCCCCACCTTGCTCCCTTTGGTGAGTGAATAGTGGCAGTTCTGAGAACCAGCACCATTTGGAACCTGGACTATCACTTTTAAGAGAAGAATTAATATTTTAGTATTGTTTGGGCATCACATTAGACACAGAATAAAGGACACAAGACATGTTGTACTTCGATGTCCTAAATGCTGTACTCTTAATGTGCTAAAGTTTTTGTGCCACAGCAACGAAAAGAATCAAAAAGCCTGATCTAGAGATGGGGGTTGAAGGAATCCCCAAATGTGGAAGACTTGACCACAAACAGGACTGTGACTGCTTTGCCAAAATCAGTCCCACTAAAGAATGCTTGAAAACTAATGCAGTGATTACAGCTGTTCAGGATATCCTAAGTATGATGATAACTCTAGGAGTCACTCCAACACAGGACCCACGGAGGAATCCAGGCGGTATAAAAGGCTGCTTGTCATCCAGCCAATGCGTCTCAGGAGACAGCGGGTCTTCAAGGCCTTCACAAAAAGTATCTGAGACTCAGACGCCAAGTCTACTCAAATAGGCTTCCCAGGCAGCTTTTCTGTACATCTCTGCTGCTTCCAGACGATTGGCTGATGCTATTATGCCCCGGCCTACAATGATGATATCAGAACCTCGTTTGCCAATAACTTCTTGTGGGCTATTGTACTGTTGGCCGAGATTATCACCTGCAGAAACACAAAAGTTACTATCAATACAATACAGAACATCAGAAAACCCGTCATGTGACCTTTTGGAGGAAAGTATCTAACCAGCTTTATTTAATTAACACCATGCTCCTGCTTTCCATGCTCCTTCTGGACAGCAAGTGAGTAAATGCAGGTGAAGAGACAGACCCCGGACATGTAGAGATGTCCACAGTGAAGCAGCCAACCCTTTCCTTTTCAGTGTCTAATTGTAGAGCATTTACAGTTTAACAGCATTAAAAAAAAAAAAAAAAAAAAAAAGTAAATCTCCTACCAATGCCAAGAAAAGTTCAATACAAAAAAAATAATAAAATAAGATAAAGCTGACGGGTAAACACCTAACCGCAGCTGCACACAACAATTTCAATGGAATACAACTAAAATATAAAATGGACATTGCCCAGAGTTACAGGTAGTCGACTGACTGAAAATTCTACAACAAGAAGGAAAGAGAAAACTAGAAGGAAAATCAGAAGAGCTGTAAAAGCCTAAGATACAGAGACATGCTGCACGTGCACGAAGAGGACGGAACTGGAGAGGAGGGGAAGGCTGAGTGCCTGCCTGGCATTCCCTAGCAAGAAGGAAATAAAAGCCCCGGACTGTGCTAAGCCCCAGTTCTGATTGCTCTGAGCCCCAGTTCTAGGCCAGTCCCTGGGGACCCAGGCTCAAACAGAGGGAGACGGGACTGTGAGGCGGAATCCCAGGGGAGTGGCGAAAAGCGGAGCCCCCGCAGTCGCGCACATTGCGTGCAGAAGACAGTCTGTTGACTCTGATGCTAGACTGCCCTAGCAGGAAAAAGAAAAAAGCTCCAGACTGGAAAGGACGCAATGAGAAGCAGGAGCTGCTGCCGGACACCAGCAAGCCGGGCGCTGGCAAGGAGCCGGGCGACAGGGACTCCAGGGGGGAAGGGCCGCTGGGCCCTTGACTGCTGATTGTGGGCCACGGAGCCGAGGCTGGGGCTGCTTCCTGGGTGGCGCCGACCCCGGCAACAGGCTGAAGCCTCGCAGGAGGCCGCGGAGAACAAAAGGGTGCTGCAGGCCACCCTGCTGAACTTCCAGGATGAGGAGGAAGAAACCAAAGAAGTTTTCAATGTGAAGAAATCAAGTAATAGCAAAAGATAGCAAAATTACTTAAGAAGGAATACAAAGAAGATCTTGAAAAATTGAAGACTAAGAACTCAACTCAGCAGCCAACATTGTAACATAAATGCGTTTAAAAAAAAAAAAAAAAAGGACAGAATGTTGGAGCGATGGCGGCCAGGCCCAGAGTGGCCAGGCCCAAGGCAGTAGCACCCGGGCCCAGAGCAGCAGCAGCCAGAACCAGAGCAGCAGCAGCCAGGCCCGGAGCAGCCAGGCCTGGGGTAGTGGTGGCCAGGCCCAGAGCAGCCAGACCCGGAGTAGCTGGGCCCAGAGCAGCGGCAGCAAGTCCGGGGCAACCAGGTAGGGAGCGGCCAGGCCCAGAGCAGCTGGGTCGGAAGCAGTCAGGCCCCAAGCAGCAGCAGCCAGGCAGGGAGTGGCAACGGCCAGACCTGGAGCAGCTGGTTGTAGAGCAGACCAGAGCAACAGAGGCCAGGCCCGCCTCTCAGACATGGCTGGAAACTTCTGGGGGAACTTGAGTGTCTGCTGAATTAAGTGATGAAGGCTTAGATCTGGATGTATTGAGTTATTATAGGGCTTCGGTGTTGATCTGTGAGTGCCTTGTTTGGGGCCTGGATGAGGTTGGTTGGTTGATCTATTTGGAAGTGTCTTTTGTGTGAAGTGTATCCTTGGGCATGTGGAGGTATTATTGATTTGAGAAAATGCTAAGTAACTGATTTACTACCTGAAAAATTTAAAGTTCTGAAAGTTTAAGGTCTCTTCCCAAAAAGAGGTTTTAAAGCTTACACCTTAATTTTAATGGAGAAAGAGGACAAGCCCTTCCCACCCAGAACAGATAATCCAATTCCAGCCAGCAGCTATCTTTAAACAATGTGTCCATTTACACTTGAATGGCTACACCTTTTGATAGCCTAAGGGCAAGTTTACATGTAAACAAGTTTGCTTCTCAGTTCCCAGGGCAGAAAAAACAAGGTTTAAAATTATTAGATTTTAAAATTTATTCTTAGAAGTGTAAAAGTTTATTAATTAAAAAAACAAACAAACAAAAAACAACAACAAAAAAAGGAGATTGAAAAACCTGATGAACAATATTAGCTGTTGATTGTAGTAGAGTTGGCGATATGGGAGGGGAGTGGACTGACTGTTCTGGGGAGGGGGGGAGAGAAGGGAGAGTGGTGGATGAGGGAAGAGATGAACAAACTGTGCACCTATGGATGAGGACAATGGAGGGTGGGGAGGGGGCGGAGGGTGGGGTAAGAACCTGGTGGAGGGGGGAGGAAATGAGGAACCTTTGTAATAATATGAACAATAAAGATTGATTTAAAAAAAAAATATATAAGATAAAGCTAGGCCTTATATTTGAAGGCAATTTTAGTTTCAGAATCACATGCCACACCACTGGGAAAGTCCTCAGAAGGCAATGAACGGGACCAGGACCACATATGTGAACCTTTCTGCCACAACTCAACTGCTCATACTATACAGGGGCGCAAAAGTCGGTTTACAGTTGTTCATATGCAATACAATAATAAATAATAATACAAGAATAAACTGTTTCACATACACCTTTAAGCCTATTTTTGCCCCACCCTATGTATAAAGCCTGTTTCTAATTTTTTTTTTCATTCTTTTTATATCTTTTTTTTTTAGAGGTACAACTAACATATAACATTAGTTTCCAGTGTACAACATAATGATTTAATATTTGTATACCTGAGAACTGATCACCACAATAAGTCTACGTAACATCCATCACCTGGGATTAATTACTAAATTTTCTTTTGTGAAGACAAATTTCAAGATTTAGCAACTTTCAAATATGTAATACAATAAACTGACTATAGTTGCCTTGCTGTAAATACATCCTCATGACTAATAACCTTTGAGCCCCATCACCCATGTCTCCCATCCTTAAACCCCTACCTCTGGCAAACACCAATCTGTTCTCCATATCAATGAGCTTATTTAATTTTTTGTTTGTATTTAAATTCCACATATAAGTGAACTCATGTGGTATTTCTCATTCTTAGTCTGACTCACTAATATTTCACTTAGCATGATATTGTAAAGGTACATCCATGATGTTATAAATGGCAAGATTTCATTTTTATATGCTTGAATAATATGGATAATTAAAATTTCTTTATCCATCAATAGATACATAAGTTGTTTCCATATCTTGGCTATTGTAAACAACACTGCAATGAAGGTGGGGTTACATATCTCTTTTTAAGTTAAATTTTTGTTTTCTTAGGATAAATACTCCCAGTGGAATTGCTAGATCATACGGAAGTTCTATTTTAAATTTTTTAGGAACCCCAATATACTGACTCCCATAGTAGCTGCAGCAATATATATTCCCACCAACAGTACACAGAATTCCCCTTTCCCCACATCCTCTCCAACACTGGTTATTTCTTGCCTTTCGGTAAGTCATTCGAGCAGGTGTGAGGTGATATCTCATTTGGTTTTGATTTGTGACCTCCCTGATGATTAGTGATGCTGAGCATCTTTTCATGTATGTGTTGGCCATCTATATGTCCTCTTTGAAAAAATGTCCATTTTTTAAATAAGATAATTGTTGCTATTGAGTTGTACAATTTTAAAAAATATTTTATCAGATACGTAATTTACAAATATTTTCTCCCATTCTGTAGAACGTCTTTTTATCCTATATAATAAAGAGGTAATATGCAAATTGACCATCATTCCAACACACAAGATGGCCGCCACCATGTGGTCAAATATGGCCACCCCCTGTGGACACAATGTGGCTGCCACAAGATGGCTAGCAGGGGAGGGCAGTTGGGGAGTGGGGGGATCCAGGCCTGTAAGAGAGGGCAGCTGTGGGCAATCAGGCCAGCAGGGGAGGACAATTGGGGGGACCAGGCCTGCAGGGGGGATAGTTTGGAGGGAAGGGAGGAAGAACCAGGTCTGTAGGGGAGGGCAGTTGGGAGGGTGTGGACCAGACTGGCAGGGGAGGACAGTTAGGGGCAACTAGATTGGCAAGGGAGGACAATTAAGGGTGACCAGGCAGGTAGGGGAGGGCAGTTAGGGGCAATCGGGCCGACTGTGGAGCAGTTAGGCATCGATTAGGCTGGTAGGGGAGTGGTTAGGGGCAATCAGGCAGAGGCAGGTAAGCTGATGGGAGCCAGCAGTCCTGGATTGTGAGAGGGATGTCTAACTGGTGGGATCAGGCCTAAATGGGCAGTTGACATCTCTCAAGGGGTCCCAGATTGGAAAAGGAGCAGGCTGGGCTAAGGGACAAACCCCCCTGCCTCTGCACGAATTTTGTGCACCAAGGTTCTAATATACACACACCCACCCAAGTGGCCAGATTGTTATGCATTCAGAGATCATAATAATCTGGCCACTCAGTGTATCTGATACATCCTAATTAAAAGTAGTTTTCTAAATTTTCACCCTAAAATTAGACTGCAAGCTACTTCGCATACCTAGGTCAGTATCACCAGGCCAAAGGGCTCATTCATTGTTCTAGATAAACAAGCATTTTTTTTTATCAACTTTATAACAACACACAAAATTTCATCTAGCCTTTGAAGACATGGCTAAAGAAGCATTTTGGAAGAATGAACAGACTTACGTCTTGCTTCCAACTGAACTCCTGGAGTTAAGTGAAGAAATTCTGGTTTCATGCTTACTCGGGAGCCAGAAATAAAACCAAAAACAAATTCAGAATGTTCCTCAGCCATTCTAACCTAAATAGAATGTAATAGGACAGATTACAAGAAAGCAGTTAACCACACAGAATAATTCTACAAGTTAAAAATCGGCTCTATTAACTAGTAAGAAACTGCTATTTTATAGATGTCTTTTCTCATTTCATATTAAAATCATTATATCTAAAACAGGTAATCTTAGCTATAAATCTAGATCTTTGCTCCATTAATCCTGTCTCTCCCCTTCTCCCAATTAACCATACCTAAAAACATAGTGTCCATACTATACTATAGTAAATCCTATACCAATTATGGCTGTCTAGAATCTAGATGCTGCATAATTACTTATTTTTAATAATGCTTGAGGATCCACCTACTTCCAAAAAGGATATGAGGAAAGCATTCTAGACTATATCTCTAAACGGTATAAAACTACATTGAAAACTTACTGCCTATCTACTCAGGGTGCTCCATAGTCAAGGTTAACTATGTTGTCAAGAGCTAAAGAAATCTCTACTGCTTTCCCTCTTCTTTAATATTTGCTAATAATCGGTCTCCACAATTTCTATACCATTACCCCATATTCATAGAAGTTTCTCTAGAAGGTCTGACTTCCTCATTTGGCTCTACCCTAAGACTCACAGTGTTCTGTTCTTGCCAGAAAGTGATGTCTTGTCCTTGAGCCAGACCCAGATCCCCAAAATGACCCATGTACCCCTCTGTTATGAGAACTGGAAAATCACAGTTGTTTATGGACAGACAGTTCAGGTGTGGGGTTAAAACCTGGTCCTAGGGCATGTGAATTCTTCAGTTCCATAGAGTATTTGAAGTAACAAAATATCTGTAAAGATGATCTATCCATCCATGAAACTTTTTAACTGGAATGTAAGGGCGGGTGCTGGGTATTAAGTGGAATGCTATAAAAACTTTTAATAACGTGGAGTTACTGAAGGAAACAATGTGTCTGGGCTCTAGTTAAGAGCTTTACCATACAATACCAATCAACATCAATGAATGAACAGACAAACAAATAAAAAACATGGGCTGCTGTCCTGAGAACGCATCTCTGTGGATTTGGGAGATTCTGAGGCACTGCATATCTGGGAGGCAGCTCTTCAATTCCAACTCATGGTGAGATAAAAAAACACCACCACCATCTTAAAGGTCAGGTAAGCCTGGCAAATGTTTATCTGACCAAGTATCTATTTCAATGTTTCTCTCTTGGGTGTACAATTCAAATCTCGTAAGTGTTCAACACAAAATACAAAATGCTATTAACTAATAGAGAATTCTAGCCAATTAGTATTAATATACTGTCACATTAACAGCAGCTTTTAATTTTTTTTTTTTTTTTTTTAGCAGTTTCATAAACCCAAAAAGAAGATATTTTCTTCCTCTAGAACATGTGGTTTACAGCCCAGTCCCTCGGGCACTTACCGCTGCTTTCGTGTAGTCCCCAGTGGCCAAGGAGCCAGCAGAGCTCATTTCTGCAATGAGCAGGCACCCCCGCTGCAGAGGCAGGCCAACTTCTTGCAGGCCTTTCACAACTCCCGAGCCTGGGACCACGTGAGCATTTACTACATCTGCCCAGGAAGCTATTTTAAAGACACCACCTAAGAAAGAGGCAAAAAGATATTTGTCAAATTTCACACAAAAACCTTTAACTTTTTGCCAAATAAGTAGAGTATGAAATAATGTCCTAGTAACATGTTAATGAAATAATGAAACACTTCAAGAATTTTAGTGTTTCAGTAGACTTATGTATGCTTCTAAGTGGGAAACATTTATCTACCTAGTAGCTAGTTGAGAGATCACAATGAGAAAATTCTTACAAGTTCTGTATTTAGTTTATAAGCAACACTAAACTATTTTTCCTGGCTGGCTGAAGCTGTGACCAATAAAACTTATGCAATAAGAAACAAAGCCCAGTGAAGATAGGTGTTTATGAAGGTCAAAGATATCAACATTTGGAAATTCCTCTGAAGACAACAAATTTTCATTGTGCATGGATCTCATAGCAACTTTACCATTTCTCAAATCTTCTACTTGTTCCTAAGGTCTCTTTTGGTCTTCAAATATCAATAGGCAATTATTTTCATTTAAAATGCTAACATCAATAACCCTAATCAATTTTTAAAAGATTCTATGTAGCCGGCACTGGTTTGGCTCAGTGGATAGAGCATCCGCCTGCGGACTGAAAGGTCCCTGGTTCGATTCCGGTCAAGGGCATGTACTTTGGTTGCGGGCACATCCCCAGTAGGGGGTGTGCAAGAGGCAGCTGGTCGATGATTCTCTCTCATCGACGTTTCTAACTCTCTATCCCTCTCTCTTCCTCTCTGAAAAATCAATAAAATATATTAAAAAAAAAAAAGATTCTATGTAAACCTGTAGAAAGTTTGTATAACTCTTATATCAGTCAACAAACTAAAGAGGACATTTGAGGCACATAAAAAGAAAATATGTTTGAAGACAAATCTATCCCAAAGAAATAACTTCAGTATAAGCATGCATCACCTAAAAAAACACACACACACACACACACACACAAAAAAACAAAAACAAACAAAAAAATCTCAAAAGATGTCTATAAATGTTAATAACATGATAAAATAAAATATAAGGTTAAGTGAAGAAAAAACATTAGATATGTACGCTACGGCAGAAATTAGCATAGAAGGATAGGTATAGAATTAAGCTATTTTTTCAACCAACATATGCTCTATTTTGAGTTTAACAAAATATTTTTAAAAGAATGTGTATCATCAACAAAACGTTTTCTGGTAAAAATTAATTTTACAACTTTATACTACCTTTTCACTGTTTCCCATATCTGCAATTTTCATGCTTCAAATAACAGAATTCAGTTTGCCATGCCCAACCTCTGTCATGTTTGCCTGCCTAGACCCTAGACCCTACGTTCCTGTCTTCTGGCATCAGCACACTTTTAATTTTTTTATTATCTTCTTTAGGGGAACTACCCTTTACCAGATCTTGGTTTAAGAAGTTTATAGAGTTAACCACCTCACATTACCTACCAGGGGTTGGGCATATTATCCAGGTGTTAGTGGTATCTTTAGCTAATCTATACCTAAAGGTATTCTATACTCAGTGACTGAATTGGAGTAGGCATGAAGACTGTGCCTACCTGAGAAAGAAGGAAGAAGGCAGAGCTGATAGAAGAGAAAGCAAGTCCAAAAGACATCACTTGAGCTCCTGGATCCAACCATGCTTGCCAGCCTGTTCTATGGATGGATTTTCAGTGATGTGAGCCAATACATTTCCCTTTTTTCTTCAGCTAGTTTAAACTGGATTTCTGAGTCTTGCAGATTCCTGAATAATACTTACCTTCATACTGCTTTTTTACTGTGTTTCCTATGTCTGCAAATTTCCGGTCTTCAAATATTAAAAACTCATGGTGTTTTGCCAGACTTGTTAACTCCTTCATCACATCCAGAGTAAAGTCATTCAAAATATCTACATGAGTCTTGAGCATGCAGATGCTGGGTCCTAAAGCATCTGCTAGCTGCAACAAATCTCTGGATTCTGAAACGTCAGCCGACAGACACAGATTGGTCTCCTTCTTCTGCATAACCCTGAGAAGCTTTGATGCAATTGGATGAATCCCGGGCAGCTCGGCACGTGCACCGAAGCTGAGTTCTTTGGGTGCTTTCTTTATAGATGGGAGAGAACCATTGTGATCAGCTGCCACAAAAACATTCTCCTGAATAAATTTCTTCACTCTCTCAACCATCTCAGCATCAATTTTTTTCTGTTGCTCAAGAATCTCCAGCACTTTGGACAATGTACACACTGAGTGGAGACGAAGCCCATGTGCCTGCAGCTTATCCTTGCCTCCTTGCTCTCTGTCCAGAAGCACTATGACGTCTGTGACCTTCAAGCCCTCCTTCTGAAGAACCTCGACAGTTTCCAAAACACTGGATCCGCTGGTAACGACATCTTCGATGATCAAACAGTTTTCTCCTGGATTAATAGCCCCTTCTACAAGGCGTTTAGTACCTGGACAAGAAAGAATTAAATTGATTCCAATTTAATATTTCATCAACTCAAGATGTATCTTACAAAATAAATTTTGCATATATTTATTAAGTTCTGCATATATTTATTAAGAGTGGATAATTTAAATCTTATTTTCTGATAAATTACACTGGAGCAACTATATTTCTTTTATAAATATCAGTTACAGATAGATATTTACAGTAAAACTAGCAAATTTTTTTGGATTATAAATAAAAATTACTTAACATGTTTATAATCAAAGTTTCAAATATGGGGTTTCTTAAAGCAAGATAACCTAGATAAGGAAAGTGATGAAACAAAGAATAACAAAATACCCTCAATGAAATCATTTCTTTTTCCATCAATAAACCATTTCATTACTCAAGATCAGCCAGAAAATTGGCCTTTGCATATATAGATTCAGGAGAGAAAATACTCAGCAATCATTTAGAGCAGTGTTTCCCAAACTTTTGACATATGTGTACTCCTATAATTTTCATAATGCTGAGTATCTATCGTACTCATGAGAACGTAGAATTAGACGCAGCTAAGCACGGTGCAATGAATACCCCCACCAAACTCTTCCCATACCCCTGGGGGTACGTGTACCACACTTTGGGAAACACTGATTTAGACCAATTATTACAACTTTATAAATTATACTAGAGGCCTGGTGCATAAATTTGTGTACCAGTGGGGTCCCTCGGCCTGCAGGATCAGGCCAAAACTGTCTCTCTGACATCCCCCGAGGGGTCCTACATTGTAGGAGGGTGTAGGCCAGGCTGAGGGACCCCACCAGTGCACAATCAGGGCCAGGGAGGGAAGCGGGAGATTGGCCAGCTGGGGAGGGACCATGGAGGGCTCCAGGGCGTGTCCAGCCAACATGTCTCACTCAGTCCCAATCAGCCAGACCCCAGCAGCAAGCTAACCTATCAGTCAGTGTCTGCCCCCTGGAGGTCAGTGCACATCATAGCGAGTGGTTAAGCAGCCTTAGCATATCATTAGCATATTATGCTTTGATTGTTTGAATGGACAACTGGACACAGAATAGTAGGTTTTTATTATATAGGATAATGCAATGTGACTAAATATACTTTCCCATTCCAACTCCAAGATAGATTATTTTCAGATAACCTACAAAATGTAATTCAGGCTATAGACTTTAATAGACTCATTTTTCTGTTTCCCATTACCAAATTTGTCAAATTTTGAAACAGAAATAGAATTGGTGACCACTTTGCCCACTTTTTGAGCTTTACCACAGGTACCATCATTGCCCTTTCCCATTCCCTTCCTCCCTACTGAAGAATTGGCAAGTTTCACTGAGTCAATTTGGAGTAGAACACAAGACTGTATTTATAGGCATATTTAAAAATAAACCTTATTCCAAGAAATATTTTTGAAGACAAATCAAAAGGAAATAGAAATAATAGTTTCCTTGTGGGCAGAGATTCATAGATAAATACTGTGCCTTCAAGCAGCATATATTCTTACTATTTTTTAAGCACTTGGCCACGCCCATGTCATCAGGGGAGGGCAGCTGGAATGACCAAGCTGGCAGGGGAGGGCAGTTGGGGGTGATTCATGCACTGGGCCCCTAGTTCTGTTTGGCTCCGTGGATAGAGCGTTGGCCTGCAGACTGAAAGGTCCCAGGTTCGATTCCAGTCAAGGGCATGTACCTTGGTTGCAGGCACATCCCCAGTAGGGGGTGTGCAAGAGGCAGCTGATCGATGATTCTCTTTTATCAATGTTTCTAACTCTCTATCCCTCTCTCTTCCTCTCTGTAAAAAAATCAATAAAATATATATTTTTTTAAAAATGTTGGGTTTCACAGATATAGTGCAAAAAAAACCACACTATTTTTCATTACCTTTTCATCTCTAGATTCTAAAGGAAAAGAAGATGATATATAGCAACAGTTGCCATAACGATTTAAAGGACCTACGAAGATCATTCAAGGTGCCTGGTAAAACTGCAATGCCTAGAAGAAGAAAAAAAATTCTAGCAGTATGAGCTTACCGTAATCCTTTGTTTCTTTTCTTCTAATGAGCATTGGAATTTGGTTAGTTGAACAGATAACTGTAGCCAATGGTAAAGCTGTGTAAGGTACTCCACAGACAGTATCAAAATTGATCCCTGCATTTTGCGCAGTTTGGAATAAAAGTTCTGCGACCTATAAAAACAAAACAAAACAGAACACATAAACTATTATTGTTCTATTTTAAACAGTGTATAAATAAGGTAGCATAACCTTAAAGACAGTAGGAAATAGTCTCAAACCTGATTAGAAAACTACAAAAGCCTTTTTGTTAAATCACCTCTGCATAAACCCATTTACAAATAAAAAACACAACAAGTCTACTCATCTAAACTCAGGGTCTGATCTGAGGACAATATAGAATGTGTAAGGGAAGGCTATGATGTTGACCCCAAGGACTAAAGATGGCCTCTAGGGTTCCCAGTTTCCTTTGGTAATCCATTATGCTTTCAGTATTTAAACCTATCTATTAGCTACCAGTTATATTTTCTTCCTGAAAGAAGTCTTCAGTTATGAAGTTTCACAACAAAAATTAAGAAAACAATCCCATTTAAATTTAACCAACAAGGTCAAAGACCTGAATACTGAAAACTATAAGATGATGATGAAAGCAATTGAAGACACAAATAAATGAAAAGATATTCTGTGCTCACAGATTGGAAGAACTATAATTGCTAGAATGTCCACACTATAAAAACAACCTACATATTCAATGCAACCACTATCAAAATTCCAATGGCAAGGGGCAAAGTCAATGTGGCAGAGCAGGGCCCCTGGCCTGGTAGCTCAGCTGGTTAGAACATTGTCCTGAGACACCAAGGTTACAATAGTCATGATATGGAAGCAACCTAGACATCCATCAATAGACAAATGGATAAAGACATAAGTCAGACAGAGAAAGATAAATACTATATAATTTCACTTATAAGTGGAGTCTAAAACAAAGAAACAAACAAACAAACAAAAAAAAGAAAGGCCATATTCATAGATAGAGAAGAGATTGGTGGTTTCCAGAGGTGGGGGTTGGGGATCGTGTGATGAATGAAATGAGTGAAGGTGGCTAAAAGGTACAAACTGCAGTTATAAAATAACTGTCATGTGGCTGTACGTGCAGCATGGTGACTATAGTTATTAATACTGTAATTGCATATCTGAAAGTTGCTAAAAGGGCAGACAATAAAAGTTATCACCAGAAAAAATATTTAAACATGTACGGTGATAGATATTAACTAGCCTTATTGCAGTGATCACTTTGCAATATATACAATTATTAAATCATTATGTTGTACACCTGAAATTAATGTTATGTCAATTATACCTCAAAAAAACCAATGAAAGAATATACAAAAATGTAAAAGAATGAAAAGTTTCATAATATAGAACCTATTATTTTATATATATAATACGCTTTCTACATAAATCATCACATATTAATGCTAGACTGCTTACTCCTACTGAACACCACCTTATTTAAAAGAGAAGCAAACAAGCAGAGTTGCTTACTGATCATGTCTTCAAAATTTTTTGCTCAGATGAAAATAAAAATCTATGAATATTTTTACATTGCAAAAGATGTAATTTCTATTTTTTTATTTTTTAAATTTATTTTATTGATTTTTTTACAGAGAGGAAGGGAGAGAGATGGAGAGCTAGAAATGTTGATGAGAGAGAAACATCGACCAGCTGCCTCTTGCACACCCCCTACTGGGGATGTGCCCGCAACCAATATACATGCCCTTGACTGGAATCGAACCTGGGACCTTTCAGTCCGCAGACCGACGCTCTACCACTGAGTCAAACTGGCTTCGGCAAGATGTAATTTCTAGAGTACAAAAACATTAACATATTATATAGAACTGTTACATCACTCTTTTAAGTGAATATGATGGGATCCAAATGCTATAGTGATTTGATACTCAACATCTCCATACAAAAAAAATAAAAATAAGAAAAAAATGCTAGGTTATGATAGCTGGAAAAGCCTACATTTTGGAGGAACTTATATTTTCATTCCATTATTTCCAAAAAATTTTATTCTAATACAATATATATTTATGTCTGAAAAACTGCAATTGATCATTTCCATACTAGTTCTTCACAACAAAAATATACAAATTGAAATTTAAAATTGTAAATTAAAAAACTTTTCCTGCGACTTTGTCTCTAAGCGTTAAAAATTCTTCTGTGTTGAATTATCATTTACAATTGTTATGCGCATCAAATTAATGAAAACATAATTTTCATATCTTGATAGCATAAAAACTGATTATTTTAGAAATGCAGCACTTTTCCTCCTTGCATTAGTTTATGTATCTACTGTAGTTCAATAGTACTTACTACTAGGAAGTAAGAGTTAGTGTAAATTCTACAGCTTTTTTTGGATAAAAATAATGAGAAACCCTATTCATATAAAGTAGACATGAAAGTTCTATTATACCGAAGTCTCTCAATGTTTTGAACTCCTTCCAAATTAATTACCAAAAATCACACCCACACCAAGACCTAGTTTCAAAAAATAATAATTTTTAGTCACTTGTCAATGGATGTCTTGTTAAAAAAAAAAACACATCAATTTTTCATTAGAAGAATCTCTAGTCATTCACTTTTTTCAGCAGCACTGCTGAAATGCATCACAGCAAGATTCTGTGTGGTTTCCAACCCATTTTAACTAGTCCTCCTTTTCATAATAAGCACACAAAGGGTGAACATAAACATCCTTAAGTGACAGCTAAAACATGTCTTTTAGAGAGAACTTCTATAATGATGGAAATATTCTATATCTGCACTGTCCAATGATAGTCACTAGCAACATGTGACTATTTAAACCTAAAAAAAAAAATCATACTGCTCAATATTCACATGTGGCTAGTAGCAACTGTACTGAACAGCACATTTGGGCCCTTCTGCTCCGAGTGTGGTCTGCAGCTTTGGCTGGCAGTTTGTTAGAAGGGCGTTCCCTCAGCAGGCCCTGCCTCAGATCTACTCAACCATATTACAACATTTAACAAAATCCCCAGGTGATTCAATATATTCAAAGTTTGAGAAGCACTCTGCTAGTAATGTCTAATTTGTAGAAATTTTCCCTTATATTGACCAAAAAAAACAAACAAACAAAAAAAACAAGAAACCCTCCAGGAAATGTCCCACCCTCAGGCGTTAATTCCTGCTCCTGGCCATACAGTGCAAAACGGAACCTCCTTCCAAGCAACAGCCCTTCCAAGTATTTGAACCGCTCCTCACTTCTTCCCACACCCACCTTTCTCCCTCTCCCCCACACCTAACTTTCTCGAGGTTAGAGACACAGAAGTCCTTCCACCACATCTAGGCGAGGCAGGGCCCCAAACTGGAGTCCCGACTCTCGCAAACCACGTGTCAAAGTTGGCGGGTGAAACAGCCGGCTGCTCTCGGGGTCCCCCCCAAAAACGAACAGCTCCTGGCCTCCGGGCTTCTCAAACGGACTCCCCAGGCTGACAGTAGGGTCGACCCCTCCGGCTTAGCTCCCACTGGCAGTCGCCTCCCTCCCATCTCCTTCCTGATCGCCTTCTCCGCCACCCGCCCGGCTCTTCCCTTTTCCGGGCTGACACCTGACTCAGAAGCCGCGGTCGAGACACGATGCCCCGCAGATCTACGTAGACGGGGGAAGAGAGCCCGCTCTTCAGCACGAAATTCCCGAACTTGAAAGCCTGCACGTCGTACAGACCCTTTACCAACGACCCCAAAGCTGCATCGGCGCCCGCCATGGTGCAGGGGGCCACGTTCGCGCCAGGCGCCGTGCGCACTGCGCCGGAACTGCGGCGCACTGGTGACGTCAATCTACAAGCCCCGCCCCTTCCGCCCTTTTCCGGCGGCCGGCTGGCTCGCTGCGAGCTCTGCTGGGTCGTAGGTGACTAAGGTCACGTGGCGGTAGTGCGTGCACCTTGCTGAGATTTATGTTGATGTTGGCTGCGTCTGCATGGGGTCGATGGAATTTAAAGCTGGAGACTGTATATAAAACCTGTCCACTTTTTATTTTTTATTTTATTATTATTTTAATGTACACACATATATTATTGATTTTCCACAGGGAGGAAGGGAGAGGGACAGAGAGCTAGAAACATCCATGAGAGAGAAGCATCGACTAGCTGCCCACAACCAAGGTACATGCCCTTGACCTGAATCTAATCTGGGACCCTTGAGTCCGCAGGCCAACACTCTATCCATTGAGCCAAACCAGTTTCCGCACTTTTTTTTTTTTTTTGACAGACAGATCCTGCCGCAGGTTTATTTGTACAGACAGCACAGGACGGCACCAGCACCACGCGGACAGCAGCCCAGGGACCCCACCAGTGCTTCCGTCCTACTGTGAAGCCTTCGTGGGGGCCTGAGCCGCTTTGGGAGCAGGGGCCTGGGTACCTTTGGGAGCCTGAGCTGCAGCTGCACCTGCAGCCTGGGGCTTGGTTTCGGCCTTGGCCTTGGCCTTGACCTTTGGCGAGCAGATCCTGAGCCCCTTGGCAATGCGGGCATGAGCGCGCTTCCCAAGCTTGGGGTGAGCGATGTAGGCAAGTCGACTAAGTTTGCGGCTGCAGCTCTTTGGGATATTGGGCCTGGGCTCCTTGGGCTTGACCAGGGCCTTGATGGCCTCAGCACGGGCGCTCATGGCCTTGGCATTGTTCGCCTGCATCTTCTTCAGGCTCTTCTTGTTGTGCTTCTTGGCAAAACGCATGTTCCTTAGGAACTTGGGATCTACCCCATTAAGAGATTTGTATCTTTATGACCGGGGTTTCTTGATGCCATTTCTGTGCCATTTCCGGGACTGGTTGTGCGTGGTGTGGTTCTTGGACTTGGCCATCTCTGCACAGAAGGCCGCGGCTGCCGAAGCGCCAGGGACCGGAAGAGCAGTTTCGGCACTTTTTAAAGCTCAGAGTCTTCTTAATTAGTTCCACTACTTAGCCAAGCAAGTCTTTATTTGCTTGTTTCTAGCCACGCCCTCCCCCACGTGGTTTCACCAAATGCAGTGCGAGATCTTGAAGACCAGGACTTTTTCTCCATTTTGTCCCAGTATCCGTCACGGGACAATGTCAGCGATTTGCACCTGGGACTCTGCAGCTCTCAGCAGGTTCATTACCTTCTCTGTGGGCTCTGTGTCCTGGAGGAGTATGTGTATTCCCCTTGGAGTAGCACATGTACAGCTGATGAGAGGGAGGAGAGTAGAGAATGAATGGACTAGGATCAAGGTTATCCAGGAGGGTAATCTGGCCTGCCAATTTGAAATTCCAAGCTTATTTGGTCTTTACAAACAAATCTCTTAAAGATGAGGAAATGATCATTATGTGTAGAAGGCAATACTTTAAGGAACACAACCCAGAAAGCCATAGAGCTAATGATGGTTGCCCATCAAAGTGATCTCTATTTCATTTCAATATTATTTATGTATATCTAGGTTTTCTCTGAAGAAATTATGCTGACTGACCAGTATGAAGAGCCTGTGCATTGACGGTTGTTTCTCATTTTAAATAAATGGTAAATCTTGGTGAAATAGAAGCCAAATATTAAAACATTAAAAAATATATTTTTATTGATTTCAGAGAGGAAGGGAAAGGAAGAGAGAGATAATTATGCTTGGCTGCATCCTGCACCCCTCCCTACTGGGGACTAAACCTGCAACCTAGGCATATACCCTTAACTGGAATTGAATCTGGGACACTTGAGTCCACAGGCCGACACTCTATACACTAAGCCAGGGGTCAGCAAACTCATTAGTCAACATAGCCAAATGTCAATAGTACAACGATTGAAATTTCTTTTGAGAGCTGAAAACCAAGTTCTGCAAGGAAGTTTCAATCACACTGAACTTGCAAGCCCACACTTGGTATTTTGTGGAAGAGCCACACTCAAGAGGCCAAAGAGCCGCTTGTGGCTCACTTATCGCAGTTTGCTGACCACTGGAAAACCTTTTTTTTTTTTTTTTTTTTTTTTTAATATATTTTATTGATTTTTATACAGAGAGGAAGGGAGAGAGATAGAGAGTTAGAAACATTGATGATGAGAGAGAGTCATCTATCAGCTGCTTCTTGCACACCTCCTACTGGGGATATGCCCGCAACCAAGGTACATGCCCTTGACCGGAATCGAACCCGGGACCCTTCAGTCCCCAAGCCGACGCTCTATCCATTGAGCCAAACTGGTCCCGGCAAACCTTTTGTTTTTATTGGCAAAATAAGCCAATCAATTTGAACACTCTAGCTAACTGACACTTGGGTAGCACACGGAGAGTCTTTCAAAGCCTGATCATATCTCTATAGGCTAATCCAGATTCCTCGAGTTCATACTATGTATGATTCATAAACTTGTGAGATCCACCCAAACAGCCTGTCAAAGTTGCAACATGAAACACTACTTGAATGCAGTTAACAATTCACACCTGAGTCTTATTCAGCATTTTTAAAAATAAAAAAATGACCTGTTTGGCTCAGTGGATAGAGAGTTGGTCTGCAGACTGAAAAGTTCCAGGTTTGATTCAGGTCAAGGGCACATGTGGGCTCCATCCCCAGAAGGGGCCATGCAGAAGGCAGCTGATCAGTGATTCTCTCATTGATGTTTCTATTTCTCTCCCTCTCCCTTACTCTCTGAAATCAATAAAAATATATAAAAATTTAAGAATGCCTTAGAATACTTCTCTAGGCTACAAAATCGTTACTTTCTTTCCAAAATCCTGGACAAAAGTGTTGTAATACTTTTACCTGGTCAGCGACTTTCATATATTTGGGGAAAGAAAATTACTTTTTTGAACAAAGGTTTTAATTAGAAAACAAAAAGGCCACCAGAAATAATCATCTTTAGTATAGTATATTTGTAGGCATGATAACTTGTGAGATGTACATTTTGAAGTTTCAATCCATAACTTATAACATTTACTATAGTAATGACAAGACAGCAGGTCATCACTTTACAACATTACACGAGTGAATTTGACTTACAAATAAAATATTTACAACTTACATTTACAAAACGACGTTGTGTGCATACAAAATGAATAACTGCAGAAAATTTAAAAAAATAATAAGACAACTAAAACCCAGAAGATACACTTAAGGCAGACCAGCAAGACACTGAAATAATTAAGGCTGTGGAATTCTTCTGCACCTTGAAAATATAGAGCTATTTATCAATACTGTGGAGTGACTTTTAAACCAATTATTAACAAGCCTGATGAAAGTATGAACTTATATGTATATGTGTAATGGTCTCTATGGGGAAACCTGTCCACTTATGGAGAAGGCCCTTTATTTGAATAGCCAGAGAAGCCACCCCAAATTCTCAAAAGACTTGGTGTGGAGGGGGTCATTCAAAACCAAGAGGTACCAGTGCAGTTAACCAACTGTTAATAATTCAAATATAAAGGTACTTCTGACTCTATATAAGCATACTATCCTAAACAATGGCCCTATGATGCTTCAGGCTTTGTTGATTTGGTTTTGTGGACTTCAAGACTGCGAATAATTCCTAATTGAGTAGAATCTAACTCTACTCACCAGCCCTAATGATTTTGAATGGTCCTCAGTCGTTTTCCAATAGAAAAACTGACCCACCTGGGATGTCTTCAAATGGATAGATTTCTGCATATGAGCAATAACATATACATATATACTATACACTATATACATGTACAGATGTACATATATCTATATTTTCTAACAGTTTGCACTTTGAATATTACTGTTCTCTGACTAGGATCTCACTCTGAAGAGGATGTTTAGTTTTTTCACAATCTTCACGTTTGTCTTAACTACAGTTTTACTCTCCTTCTCCATAGAGTAGGCTGAAGTTTGGCAGAAACAGAGGTAAAAGCTCCAAGGTAAGAAAAAAAAAAAAATCAAACAGAGATGACAGATATGGCTTAAGTTAGTGAGAGAATATGTATGTTTGTTAACTTCAAATTCATAACCACAGTCCTTGAGATCATGGTAGCAGTCTCCATAATACTCCTGGATGTGGGTTCCTTTCTTGATAGAAGTCAGGCATGATGGAACTCTTATTCTAGCCATTCTTGGGCTAGCAGTTAGGTTGCTTAAATTAAGCCTCCAGAGTTGGGACTCCAATAATTTTATTTGCATGTTTTTCCACCACCCTCCATTTTCTCAGCCATTATCACTATTCAAAATAAGTTATGTGAATAAACAGTTAATCTTGAACATTTGGATAGAAATTAAATCTGACTACAGTTTAGAATCTCCCAGTAAACAGGCTGACAGGGAAATGCAATAGCCTGTATTATTGCAGGCTTTCCGCAAGTATCTCTTAAAGATGAAAATTTGCCTGAGAGTAATTGCTTTTTAACTTCTACATATATTAAAAGTGACAGTCCTGACAGATTTGGCTTAATTGATAGTGTTGGCCTGTGGACTGGAGGGTCCAGGGTTTGATTCAAGTCAAGGGCACATGCCTGGGTTTCAGGCTCCATCTCCAGTGGGGGGGGGGGGGGTGCAGGAGGCAGTCCATCAATGATTTTCTCTCATCATTGATGTTTCTATTTCTCTCTCTCTCTCTCTCACACACACTCTCTCTCGCTCTCTCCCTTTCCTTTCCTCTCTGAAATCAATAAAAATATATTTTTAAAAAGTGTTGAAGAAAATAAGGCCTCTGATACCTCTGTGTTCTATTTCTGTATAGGTTTCTCACATGAATATTTTATAAATGTGTAGTCTGTGAACAAAATTCAGTGCCTTTTAATCCTCTAGAGTTAGTGAAACAACCAGAGCCTTAGAGTTTTTAGAAAATGAATACAAACATAGTAGCTTCCCTTAGTGGAGTATGTGAAAACCTTATCTTTCTTAACCTTGCCCCATTTTACTCATTCGCTTCCAAATGATCCCGAGATTTTAAATAGTTAAGAAAAACCATGATACAAATGAATCCACTGAAAGCTCACATACTGGGTTTGCCTAGCCTGGACTCCACAGAGATGCTACATGGGAGAGCAAGAAATAGGTCAGCATTCCCCCAAACTGAGCAAGGGGTGGTATTTGCACATTTGCCCTGTGGAGACCCCTTATGTGTGACATATTCCCTCCTCTATCAAATTCATGGGGCAAAGTTTTCGTTAATATACAAAATAACCTCCATTTATAATATATTTGCTCCCTTATATTCTCACAGATCTAAATTTCCATGCTCTTTCACATAAGAAAAAAGTGATGACTAACTTATTGGCACCAAATCACAAAGACTGTGAGAAAGAAAATATACTTCTGAAAAACTAATTATCTGAAAAGAAGAGAAGAAGAAGAAGAAGAAGAAGAAGAAGAAGAAGAAGAAGAAGAAGAAGAAGAAGGGGGAGGAGATGATTTAAGATTTTCCTTCCCCAAACCAACAGTTTTATTCATTTCTACACCTGTGCATTTAACTGGCTTCTGTAGCAGATGACAGTGAGACTCTGAGGAGTGAATTGTAAAATCAGACAATATTTTATTCTCACTTCTGCCCTCCCAGTGGGGAAAGTGGCTGTTTGGGGTCTTCTCTGCCAGTTTTTCCAGAGTGCAAAGCTCTCTGAGAAGAGAGAGTAGCCATTGCTTTGGAGGGCATCTTCCTCTTTGTGTCTGCCATAAGAAATGCTGAAGAAAGCTGATTGACATGAGACTTCAATCAGCTCTTTCTAACCTTTTTCTGTAGACCAGCTTTTAAATGATCAAAACTATAGCCCAAGACCAAATAACATATAGACGAAGAGCACTTAGTACTTCCAATTAAAATCAATTGATGAAATTTAACCTCATGAGTTTGCAAACGGTATCTAAAGACATGAATATTGAAAAATTGGAATGTTCAAAGTTCCTATCAATAAAATTCTTAGCACTGGCAGTGTGTAGCACTTAAAAAAAAGTATTTTCTAGACATCCCAACTAAGGTATTCTTCCAACATCCCTATGAAATTAACGTCTCCCCTCTTTCCCCCTAACTTTCTAACCATGGGAACATTTTTGGGCCAAATAAAAACAGACTTTCTATAAGAAAGGATGAATCAGGAATAGCTGAGGTTGAAACTCAAGAATTCCTAGCCTCACCCTATATTCAGATGTTTTCATTTAAAAGGTATTATAAAATGAAGGAAAAAAATGCTGCAATATCAGTCACTCTAAATACAATGAAGTTCTTTATCTCCCTTCCTCCCCTCTGAAAGGCACTACCATTATAAAGACTTTGTGAGTCACAAAGCAGTGAAACCAACTTTTCCCCTGCCTCCTCCTCTCCCCCTACAGTGATATGGCTGTGAGAGACCTGAAGGACACTGCCAACACCACACTTAAAAAAAAAAAATTGTTCCCACATTTAGCTGTAAGTGGATATAAATCTTTTTAATTTGAAACAACTGTAAAAGATGCAGTAAATCATTATGCCTTTTAAAAATTATTCTGAGTTGTCCCTGTTCTTTCCCTTTTTTCTCCATCCCACCTTGACAAAACAAAATAAACAAATAAAAAAAAACCCAACCCTATGCAATGAATATAAGCCAAGCAAGAAGCCTGTGCCTTTAACCAACATTTATATTTTCCCCAGCTCAACTAGAAGTTCACTTTCACTAATTCCTCGTTAAGTTTTGATTTCAAAAGCCACTGTCTTAGAGAAGTGGACTAATTAGAGAAATGGACTATTTTCTCTCTTTTCCACTCTTCTGTTCTCCAAAGGACTAACTAAATTCACCTCCCAAAACAGGTACAAGAAAGTGATCCCTGGCCCCTCGTCTCTCACCTAAGGTCCATTTCCCAGTCCTGTTCTGGGACTCCTTGTTACTTCCAACTTGCTTTGGAGAATTCTTGAACCAGGACCACTGCCTCATCATGGCTGTGAGGAACCAGAAACTTTGCAGACACGGAGCGTCCCTGTTAGTTTCCTTCAGTTGCCAAACTAGATAAACTAGACCCTCTTTCTCCTGGGGCCGCTATTAAATTGATTCTACTCTAATGATTGTACTTTGGCTCCAGTTAACAAAATCATACTACTTCTCATACCTGTGTCCTTTCCCTTCCGCCCCCTCCCTTCCCCAAGTGTCCTTGGGGAAGGGGAACTCCATGCAATTTCATGTCTGAGTCCTCCCCGCCCTGCTGTAAAAGCTGATGCAAAAGCTTCGGCTCTAACATCCTGTCAACCGCCCTTCCTACAGCCCGATTCCACTGATGCTCTTCTGTGCAGCCTGTGCACCATGGTCCTGGGCCCTGCCCTTCTGAAGCAGAAATTCAGCTTGTCTCCTGCTTGGTCATCCACACACAGAACAATTTGGCAGGGGCCCTTTCATCGCCATCCGTGGTGGACGGAACAGAACTTGCCAGGCCATACTGTATGGATATTTGGAATCCCCAGTGCCTGCACTCTACCTCGCAATGAGCGCAGGGACCAGGCTTTCTTCTTTTATGCTATGTCTCATAATACAGACAGGTCTACGGAAAGAGTTTTCGGTAAATTGTTTTACATTTTAAAATATCATGTCCTATAGCATTTGTATATACATTCGTTTCTAAATGAAGACTATGGCGGGTTCATCAAGAGAGCACTCTGAGGAAGGAACCCTTGATGGCCCAGGCCATTCAAAAACAAGGAAACGGACACAGTCAAAGTCAGTTTCCACATATTTGGTTAATCCTGAAAACACGAAGTGCTATCTAGTCTTATTGCTTATACGTTCTACTCATTTATTAATTTATAATCTTGGATGGGATGAAGTGGAGGATAGATGAGGAAGTTGACTTTGAAATCAGGAGAAAGGAATGAGGAGAATTTTTAATTCTACCTTTCCACTGGGCAGATAAGTGTTTTTGAATATGAAAGTTCAGGCTTATGTCCACCCTTCTTTTTCACTTAGATAGATTTGTAGTTCTATTTATGCTTCGTCAGCTCCCTGCTTGTACTTCTGAGCTGCATGATTTCAATGTTCTCAATTCTATCTAGGACAGACGCAATGCCATTAAACGTGACTTGGACAAATATGTGACTTAAATATTTAAAGTATTGTTTCCATAACCACCAGTTTCAAAATATGTTCTAGAAAACGAAGAGTGGATCATGTACAAACACAAAAACAAAAAATAGAAAGAAACAAAACATGAAATGCCCAGGTTTAATTGTTTTCCCACTAGCAGAACAAAGGGCAGTCAATAGTCATCTGATGCGGAGAATATACACCAGAAAGTAGCATCGGCCTCAAAGTGCAATTAGTCCTTTTAGTCTCAGGAAATACTGGCGGCTGAGTGGTGGTAGGTATTGCAATCCCAGTTAAAACGCAATGCTCTATTAGGGTGATGGATCGGGTTTTAGTCCATGGCTTCAAAAAGGACTTGGGACCAGGCCTTTGCCAGGCCTATATATGGCTGCTTCCTTTTGGTGAGCACCCCTTGGCTTCCACCAGGGGTAGGAAGTCAAGTAGGCCAGCATTCTACAGTTGTAGAGGTCAGCAGAAAGTGGTACAGAGTTCAGAGAAACTGTAGGAAAGGTTTCTATTTGCCCTTTTGTATGAACCTGTTACATTCGCTATCAATCCCAAACCAAGTGTAGACGTAAAAATAGCCCACAACTCTGACTGATTTTCCGGCAGGCTTTCCCACCAGATGGACTCTGAGCTGCCAGGGAATTGGGGAGTAGCATTTCCTATACAGAACCTACGTGAGTCAAGTGCCTGTGACTGAGAGAAGGTGTTCGCACCCACAGATGGCAAAGGGGTCACTGCTTTCTCCGAATGCACAGGTTCTGGTAAAAGATTTCTATACAAGATGTATAAAATGCTCTAAAAAAGTCGTCATCTAATTGTGCTTAGTCAAAACAATGTTCATGTTTCGGTAAAGAAATCACTGTCCTAACTGGAGCACTCCAAGTTACTTATGATGACTTCATATATATATCTCTATAGTATAAAACTCTGAATTTGGAACGGGATATAGTTCCCTGCATGTGTCGATGGACTCTATAAAGAAACTATATCTAAGGAATCTAAACTGTACTGGTCGGCATACATGACATCTCTGTTACACAGAACTTTCTGCTTGAAATTTCAGCCAAGGCAGAAACCCTTTTCACTCACTACGGTGAGCTGAAGTTTTGCCCCGCGACCCACTCTCTTTGGAACACACAATGAATATTCTGCATCAGCTCATAGTCTCGTCCTCCTTGCCCCTCTTTGTTATACTCCCTGTGATTTCCTCCTTTGTCTCTTCTGAATGAATGGCCTTCTGGAAAGCCCTGGATGTGGGGTGATTTTCCTGCTGCTCAGACCCTGAATCACCACTGAGGAGGGACCCTCTCTCAATCCAGAGAACAGGCATGGAGTGAAAATAAGGAACAGGATTATTTACAGCACATTCAGTCTTGCTTTGGTTCACACTGCGCGTCCATGTGGAACCTCCGGGGCGGCGGGGACGCGGCTTGGCTACGTCCCTCGGTTGGCCCTGTTGACGATGTAGCTCTTGACGTTGGGGACGGGCCGCACGTCGTTCTGGTGCCTGCGGCGCTCGATGAAGCAGGCCAGGCGGGACGTGTCCAGCGGGACCTTGGAGTAGCTGCCGTTGTGGGGCTGCAGCCACGGGTGCTGCAGGCAGGTGGCCGCCGTGGGCCGCCGCCGGAAGTCCTCCTGCAGGATCACGTTGATGAAGTCCCTGGCGGCATTGCTCACGCCGCAGAAGTACTCGTGCGGGAAGCTGAAGTCCACCCGGCACACGTTGATGCACGTCTCTTCTTTGCTCTCGTCCAGGAACGGGGAGACCCCGCTCAGCATGACGTACGTCAGGACCCCGATGCTCCAGATGTCGGTGCCCAGGGACACGGGGATGCCCTGGATCACCTCCGGGGCGGCAAACTCGGGGTTGCCCAGCAGGTGGTGGATGTGGAAGTGACCTGAGATCTGGACAGCATCCTCCAGGTCGATGAGCTTCACTCGAGGCACTGGGATCCGCAGGTCAATGAGCAGGTTTTCAGGCTGAGGAGAGAGTTGCAAGGAGGCGGGGGAAAAGAGAAGGCAAGTTCAGCTCTCTGTGTGACTATTAGCGGGACTCCATTAGTTCCAGCACAGTTCTGCTAGATTTTGGTAAAGCCTCTAGTGTAGGGGACATTTCCTCTACAAAGCACATGGGAGGCTTCAAACTAAGCTTTACTGGGTTGGGAGGCACTTCCAAGAAGTCCTTGGACTTGGAAAATCATGTTTTCATAGGCACCCCTTCCTTCTGCAGCAAATCAAGTGAAGAGTAATTTATTCATTTTGGAGAACAGGGGCTTTCTTGAGCATCATGAGAAGGCTGGCATTTATTTGCTTCCTTCTATACAGTAAGAAGTAGTGGTTACAGCTTGCCTACCTTCTCTCACCCCAAATGCCATGGCGAACTCACGAAAACACGTTTGTGTGACAACCTCATGCCTGCTTAATATTCACAAGGGTTCTAATCTAAGTTAATAAAAACGAATTAGAATTGACATCCCTCAAGGATCACGACTGGCAGGTTGGACTTGGTCACCTTCCTGCAAGGGCAACTGTTTCTCATTACCTTGATGTCCAAATGGGCCACCCTGCAGTTGTGAAGGTACTGCAGCGCTTCCATGATGTCTCGGATGTAGAAGGCTACCTTTTCTTCCATCAGCTCGTCATGATTCATAAGGTAGTCTAGGAGCCGGCCGTCATCCATCCTGAAAGTAGGGGGGAAGAGGCAAAGGAAATATGTTTGTAAAGAAACAAAGGAATAACACACATATAAATCTGTAAGATCTTTCCTATCCCCTGTTAGAAAGATCAAAGTGGTCATACAGGCATATTTTATCCAGAGCCCCAAGTTTAGTTACTCAGAACTGAAACAAACAAATAAATAAATAAGCAAACAAATAAAATTACAAATGTGATGTGCTTCAGGGAAGACATCTGTATAACTCTGTTTAAGACACATTCTGTTTGGTTAATGTTTAAAATTGCTCACGGCTAAAAATATCCAATTCAAAGGTCCTTTGAGAGGTTAGATTGTAAAATAGAGAAGTCTTCAGAGAGAGAGATTGAAAGCTCTCTCAGCAATATTTGATTACCTGGAACCTTGTGGGTACAAGCAGCCTACAGGCTTTATTTGCTTCCTTCTACAAAGTCAGATGTAGTGGTTAGAGCTTGCCTACCTTCTCTCACTCCAAATGGCATTATGAACTTCCTCTCTCTCTCTCTCTCTCTCTCTCTCTCTCTCTCTCTCTCTCTCACACACACACACACACACACACATACAAAACAAACAAAACAAAACAAAACAAACAAACAAACAAAACCCCCACTTAAATTATGGCAGCCTAGTTTCTGTTTAATATTCACAAAAATTCTAATCTAAGTAAATAAATGAATTAGAATTGACATCCCTAAAAGATTTTTATTAGTAAAGTTTTAGTTGGGGAAACCCAGGAAGAAGGCAAAGGTTTTCTCGGGCATTCTTGACCCCCTTTTGAAACCTTTGCCTTTTAGCAACTTTTCAACCTTAAAAACTGTGACTGAGAACAAGGTAGGAGGAGCTACGCAGACTCTGATTTGAATCCTGATTCTGCCACTTGCAGGCTGGGAGCTTAGGGCAAGTAATTTAATTCTCTGTGTGATGGTTAATTCATCTTTAAAGTGGGAATAATAATAACAACCACAGCAATAATACCTACTTCATTATGAGGAATGTGCAAGAACCAAATATGACAATGAGGCATGTACACATAATTGGCAGTAATAGTAATCCTGAAAATTGCCTCTCACCTCAAGTCCTACCAAGTACCTTTCTAGGTTGTCACAGTAACTCTCTCCCAAATATGCATGTACCTACTATATTAAAACCATCCATTTAGCTATTGGTCTTTCTCATTCAATGTATAACTCCTCAAGGTCAAGAACTACTTTTTTCATCTTTGTTCTTTCCACCCCAGTTCAGGCCTACACAGTGGTTGGCCCATAGTGAGTGCTCAGTACATGTTGATAAACTAGTTCAATTCAACCTTCATCTAGTTTAATCCCTGCAACATCTCTGAGAGGTGATTTGAGACTTCACAGATGAGAACCCTGAGGTCCAGGAAGCCACATACACTGCCCCAAACACTGAGCTGGGATTAGAACTCAGTTTCTTCATTCCAAGAGCTCCCCTTGCAATTGCACCAAGAGCCTGGTGATTGACGCCTTCCCTGGGATGGTGATCTGTAATCTAAAGGAGCAAAGGTTCTGGGCTGCTGTACCACCTTGGTATGCAAGTGATAATACCTTTTATTGGAAGCATAGGCAAGTATGTGTCTCTTGTTAACAAAGATAATTCACTGTCCACAGAATTCATCTTTTGAGTTAGGAAGCTCCCAAACAAACAGGTTAGGCTCAGAAAGGCTATTTTAAGTGTATTTGCTAAGTCCAAAGTTACAATCTACACCGCTGTGTAACTATAAAAAAAGAATTACCAATACTATCAGTGTTGGTTTTGCCTTCCTTTTGTTTCTTTTCAACCAAGTTACAAATTTAGCCTAATATGTTTGCACTTGAACTTTTCTTTAATTATCATAAATAAATTTATGATCAGTTACTTCTTCAAGCACCCCCATACTGATATCTGCCAGTATACACATATAGCTACACTAACGATTTTGAACTTTTTTCATCTCATGGCACACATAAACTAATTACTAAAATTCTGCATAACACTAAAAATATAATTTTGCTCATTTGACAAAAAAATAGGTAAATTTTGATTCATTCACACTGGACAGCTACTGTTGTGTTGGCTGTTATCAATTTTTTATTTGACAATCTAAGGGAAAAAGGGTCAGTACCCCTGACTAAATAGTTGGGTATTGCATGTTTTAAAATTCTTGCAGCACACTGGTTGAAAATCGCTGAGCTAGACTAAGAAGCACACAAGAACAAGGCTAAAATGACAGTTGTAAGCTATAAGTGCAGGTACTTCTCTGCTAACAGAGGTTCTGTGGAGCCATACACAGCATTGGCCTTCGGTGCCAATGTCTGTCTCCTCCCCAGGCTGGGTCTCATCAGCACCAATCTGATAACATTTCTATGAGGGCTCAGCATTGCTGGAAAGGCTTTCTTTAGTCTCTGTGAAGTCTTTCTACAGCACAGAACATGCTCTTTTGTTCTTAGCTTGGGGTAGTGGTGAGGAGAATGGGACCTCACTACTTTATTTGATGCCTTGCATGACCAAAATATATGGTCGCCCAAGTCCCTAGAAAATCTGGAATGAGTGGAACATTTTGAAGCTAAGGTTCCATCCTTGAAGGAATTTCTTGGTTGACAGACAGGATGCGATAGCAGTGGATTGATGCCCAAACCTCCTCTCATTTCAACCCCACCCCTGTCGATAAGCCTATTGTCCATCAGGTTTTTCTAAACTGCCCGGCTCAAGAGTCCACAATAGAAAGAAAATGATAACTGAGTGAGAGAGATGGGGGTTTAAGTCCCAGCTTTTCCAATTCCTACTTTTAAAGAGCTTCCTTATCCTTGATTTTCTAATCTAAAAAAAATGGGAATAACATTTTTATAAACCGGAGGGCAGAGTGCATGTGACATACAGCACTTTGTCAACTAAGACGCTGTATTAAAGATAACCGCCAGTAAATAACCCAAACAACTGGGGACCGCCTTAGAGAGACGACACCTGTACTTACAGTTCCAAGATCAGGATGTAGGACGTGGGAGACTCGTAGGTGTCGTGGAGAGTGATGTACTGTGGGTGCTGCAGATGCTGGAGGAGGGCGGCCTCATGGGCAGCCTGCTCCTTCTTCTTCATTTTTTTGCTGACGAATTTCACAGCAACGTCTTTGCGGGTAGCTTTGTGGATGCATTTCTTCACTATGGAGAAACGGCCTCTGGAAACAGAAGGGAGAGAGCATTTTGTCAAGATTCATTCATCAACTGGGTATCATCTTATTCAAGGAAGTGTGACATTTTCACTGAAGCGGTCAGAAAGTAACATTTTATTAGGGATTCTGTTTTCCTGTCCAGTGGCCACCCTGCCCCCTTATCCAGGGGAATACATTCCAACACCCTCAGGGGATGCTGAAACTGCAGACCGTACTGTACCCTACATATACCATGTTTTTCCTGTACATACTTACCTTTTTTTTTTTTTTTTTACATAAAGGAAGCACTTCATGGCTTCTCTTTGGTGTGTCTGAATTGCTAGCATCACTACTCTTGAGCTTTGGGGCTATTATTAAGTAAAATAAGCGTTACTTGAGCACAAACACTGTGATACCACAATAATTGATCTGATAACTGAGATAATTACTACGGGACAGGGAGCGTACACAGCGTGGAGATGCCAGACAAAGAGGTGATTCGTGTATTGGGAGGGATGGATGAGATGGTGGGAGATCTCATCAAGCTACTCTCAACAGGGCATAATTTAAAACTTATAAATTGTTTATTTCTGGAAATTTCCATTTGATATTTTTAGAACACAGTTGACTATGGGTAAATGAAACTGGAAAGTGAAACCATGGATAAGGGAGGACTATTGTATTTTTAATTATAATGTTAGCTTTCAGAAACACCATTTTTACTTCCTTAGCATTTTAGGTTTCTTTGAGATGCAAAAATGTTTTTCTATCATTTTGAACATCAACCACAGGTTGTTTTCTTTTCTAAACAGAATATCTATATATATATACAAAAGGCTAACGTGATAAGTGTCCAATTGTCTGACTGGTCTCTATGACGTGCACTGACCACCAGGGGACAGATGCTCAGTGCAGGAGCTGCCATGACACACACTGGCCATTTACAGAGAAACGATGCGGTGGACCTGGCACCCATAAAGCAATACTCATCTTTCCCCAAGTGGGACGCAGGCCCTGCCACCACCCTGAAGCAACACCCTACCAAACCACAGCGGACACAGCTGAGACCCCATGGTGCAAAATGCAGCCCACACCCCAGCCCAGCCCAGCCTGGAAACAGTCGCTGTGGGCTTCGGGTAATGACATCACATAGCAATCCCAGCTTCCTCTTCCTAGCGACTAGCCACCTAGCAGTTTCTTCAGCCCAGGAACATGACTTGCTTTATAGCCAGATGGAAACATTTTGTACTTTAGCCAAATGTATGTGAAGCATTTTCTTGTGTGCCTCATCTCATTTGATCCCCACAGAAGTTCTGGAGTAGGTACATAGGAGACTCAGTGGAATCCTATTTTATTTTCATTAGCTAGAAAATAGAGATTTAGAAAGCTTAGAAACTTGAACTGATTGAAAAGAAGTAAGAAATGATGGACCTTGAAAATGACTTCAGGTTTTCTCCCTGCACACAATATAATCAAACAATACTGTAGTTAAATATTTTACCCTTTGTTCTCCCTGTGTGATCTACAATAATAATCTGCTTCGTATTGAAATTTACTGCTGTCTTGCTGACAATTACTTGAAAGAGAAGTTAGGGTGCTTCACTGGGCTGGAAAAAATTTAGCTAAATCAGAAAGCAGGTCTAATCAAGCTAGTTTATCTATAATAATAAATGTGTAATATGCTAATTAGACCAGACAGCTAAACAACCTTCCAGACGTCATTTCAGACATCATTCTGATGTTCTTCTGGATGAAGCCATGGTGGTGGGGGCTGAGGGAGAGGTGGTTGGGGCGATCAGGCAGGCAGGCAGGCAAGTGGTTAGGAGCTGCAGACCTGGATTGTGAGAGGGATGTCTGACTGCCAGTTAGACATCCCCTGAGGGGTCCTGGATAGTGAGAGGATGCAGGCCGGGCTGAGGGAACCCCCCACACCCCAACAGTGCACGAATTTTGTGCACCAAGCTTCTAGTCTATATATATATAAAGCTCTCACTGGCGCCAATCACATGTATGTATTTTGATCTGTCATTGTCAATCGTGAATTTGATTGATATGGTTAGTATAGAGAAAGGGTGAATAGCAATATTAAAATATTTATTCTAATTCATTTCCTTTCAATGTGCACAAATCCATGCACCAGGCCTCTAGTATTTCTATAAAATACAATGACAACAGGAGTAACAATGTTAAAAGAGGAATTCTACTTTTAATCATTTAAAAACATTTTAAAGAGACTATTTTAATTTAATTTTATACTTATTATTTTTAAGGGAAATTTCTAATATACACAACAATAAAAAGGACACTATAATAGATGTTCTATGCACGTAGTAGCCCACATCAATAATTATCAACATTTTGCCAACCTTATTTCGTCTATTCATTTCCTACCTTCTGCTTTTTTTTTTAAAAGTGTTTTAAGCAGACTTCATATAACATGTTATTTCACTCATTAATACTTCAGTTTGATCTTTAATTGACAAAGACATTTAACAAGTACCGTATATGCCACACTCTATTTTTACATCTATCAAAACTAACCACACCTAAAAGAAAGGAAATGTTCCCAGGTGCACCTGTAGCCCTTTGGAGGGTAGTAAGAGAGTGAATAGAAAAAGGGGGGTGATCAGCAATGGAAACAAAGAAAGAGAGAGTCAAAGAGGTGACAAGCCAGTGCCATCAAGGCTGGTCCATGAGGTGCCCTAACCCATCAATAGAGGAGTGAATTGTCTGAAGAGCAGTTCATTCCCTTAGCTGAAATGGATACATCCGACACCATGGCCATGACCAAGACTGTCCAACTGACTCCTTGACCTCACTCTGTGCTCACCAAGCAACTTTCTGACAATAATTGTGGAGTTGTTTTTTTTTTTCTTCCCCTATAGATTTTTCCCAAAAAGAGAATGTGCTAATCCATAAAACAAGTATCAGGCAAATATTAATTGAATGCCTATTAGTTGCCAGACACCATTCTTGGCCCAGTGAACAAGTATTTGGTCAAACCGAAAGTTTCATTTTACATCATATATTAACACGTTGTCATTCTGTGAGTTTTGAGTGTGATAAGGTGGTCCTTCTAGAGGACCTTGAGTGCTGAGGACAGATCACCTGACTTTGTGGCCATGACGGCTGCCTTCATTTTTGCTTGTGTTGGTCAAAGTTATGCATCCCCATGGTTTACTTTTACAAGGTTTAGCTTTATAAGGTTTGCTATTAAAAACAACAGTGTTCTATCATCCCACCATTTCCATTTGTCCTCTCCCAGAGGCAGTTTAACATTCATTTAATATATTTTTGCTGATTATTTAGATATTTGCTTTTGTGACTCTAAATATAGTATGTTTTGAATGACTACTTGCTTTTTTCAGTTTTTTTAAAAAAATATATATATTTTATTGATTAAAAAAATTTTTTTTTGTACAGAGAGGAAGAGAGAGATAGAGAATTAGAAACATCGATGAGAGAGAGTCATCGATTAGCTGTCTCCTGCACACCCCCTACTGGTGCCTACGACCAAGGTACATGCCCTTGACCGGAATCGAACCCAGGACCTTTCAGTCCCCAAGCCGATGCTCTATCCACTGAGCCAAACCGGTTTCGGCTGCTTTTTTCAGTTTTAGTTATTATCTGCTGAAATCCCACTCTTTCCTCCCTCTGTCTCCATCTCACAGCCAGTTTCCTTATCCTCTGTCTCCCAATAGAATTATATTGTTATCAATGTTTAGTATTTATATTCCTGGAACTACACCAGTGCTATTCACAAGTGAATGTCTAGTAAACTATGCATATCTTTTCTTTTTTTACAGTAGAAGCATTCTTCAATCAGTTCCAACAGAGTGCATGGGAAATAAGTTGAGACTTGTGTATCTCAAATGTGCTTATTCTACCTACATACTTGATTGCTAGTTTAGCTGAATAATTCCAGGTGGAAAAGAATTCATTTACAATTTTGAAGCAATTATTCCATTGCCTCTAACTTCTACTGTAATGGATGATGGTAACTGTTGTCAGAGACTAAAGCAAACAGCAGTTAGCATATTAATGCAAAAAGACCTGTTGGAAGACCAATGGATTTTGATATTCAGCAGGGTTGAAAATCAGCATAATATTGCTCTGCTGTGGGCTCAGTGGCTCAAGGCAATTTCCTAACCTAATAATCCTTATGCTGTTTATCAAACTTTACCTTTGATCTACCTGTATGCATTGCTAAAGGGAAAATGTGTATTCAAGTAGAATAAAAAGTGGAATGGCCAAAAGTCAGGGTGTCTCTTCAAGAAAGAGACTCCACCTGGTCCCCATCCCTTAATTCATATTTTTGTCTAGTGTTTTCATTTGTGTGTTGGTCCCTTCTTCAGATCCTGAACCTAGTCATCCAGGTCTTGGCAACCGGGTCCTTGAACAGGTACAGAGGGGAGAAGATTGGCCTGAGTGAAACATGAAGTAAAAAAGGAAAAGTGGAAATTCACTGGAAAAGTGGGAAGTTCACTTTGCACAGAGCCCATGCCAGCTTCAGAGTCGTGACTGTAAGTGGACAGGGACGTTTTTAATCAGCCAGGTTATAACGGGACAGAATTTGAGTAAAGGGGAAAAACATTATTGTAGACTTTTGGCTTCCATAGTCAAGGATAAAGGAATTAAGGTGTTAAAAGGTACTCTCTTACAGTTTTTTATATGATTATAGAACATAATCCTTGGTTTCCTGACGAGGGTACCTTAGGTGTTGAAGGTTGAGAAAGAGTAGGTCAGAATTTGAAAATAGTTCATCAGCAGTAGAAAAACTTGCCCCCGAATAGTCTCTCTTTGTGGAGCACGGTATTGTAATTGTTAGAACTTTTCAGAGAGGTAAAAGAGGATCACCCTCACCCTCTTGCACACTCCAATCCTAAAGAGGAGCAGAAAGAAAAAATGGAGGCGTGGCCTTCATGTCCCCTCCCATCTGAGTCATGATCTTGAAATATTTAACTCGCCACTAATAGAATCAACTGTGCAAAAGCTATCCGAGAAGGATTAAAGGTCATGATGGTGGA